TTTTTTTCTGTTGGTAGTGGGGCTTGAACTCTGGGCTTGGGTGCTGTCACTGTGCTCTTCAGCTCAAGGTGAGTGCTCTACCGCTTGAGCCACAGTACCACTTCCAATTTTCTAGTGGTTTATTGGAGATAAGAGTCTCACGGACTTTCTTGCCCGGGCTGGCTTTGAACCCTGATCCTCAGATCTGAGCCTCCTGAGTAGCTAGGATTACAGGCGTGAGCCACTGGCGCCCGGCTTTCACTTGGCTTTTTTGCTCATGCCTGGTGCTGCATCCCTTGAGCCTCCAGTCTGCTATTTTGCTAATTAATTGGAGATGATCTGGGCTGATCTGTTCAGGCTGGTTTTGGACCAACTAAGTCTCTGAGTAGGTAGGATTGCAGGTGGGAGCTGTTGGTGCTGAGCCATTTTTTTAGATACTTGATCACATCCCTTCATCTACCAGTCTTTTTTTTTTTTTTAAGCATTTCAGATAATTTGTAGGCATCAGTACTTTACTTACCAAGACTTATTTTTTATTTTATTTTATTTTATTTATTTTTTTGTCGGTCGTGGGGCTTGAACTCTGGGCCTGGGCGCTGTCCCTCAGCTCTTCAGCTCAAGGCGAGCACTCTACCACTTGAGCTACCACGCCACTTCCGGTTTTCTGGTGGTTTATTGGAGATAGGAGTCTCATGGTCTCTCCTGCCTGGGCTGGCTTTGAACCGTGATCCTCAGATCTCAGCCTCCTGAGTAGCTAGGATTACAGGTGTGAGCCACCAGCGCCTGGCTTACTTACCAAGACTTTAACTGGAACTACAGCCTAATTTACTACAGCTTTTTGAGAAAAACATTTGCATAGTGTGCTCACCTATGTATCTGTTCCTGAGTTTTAGTGGTATGGACATGGTGGAACCCTAACCTCTTGCTGTCACCTAGGCAGCCCCTGCTACTTCTGTTTTCTTCTTGTCCCTTGATGTTGAGGTATCTGAGAAATCCCTTGTAAGATGTAAATGCTAATGGGTCAAACCATTTTCCCCCTGGCTGGCTCACAGGGTCTTGACACTGTTCACAAACAGAGAGTGGCTGAAGTGCTAAATGACCCTGAAAACATGGAGAAGCGGAGGAGCCGGGAGAGCCTCAATGTGGACGTGGTCAAGTACGAGAGTGGCCCTGACGGAGGGGAGGAAGTGAGTATGAGCGTAGAATGGAATGGGGTAAGTACAGTACACAGCCGGCGTGCACTAGGGTAGCTGCCGGCGCACCCGCCGGCTCTGCTCACTGGCTTTCTCTGTCTCACGTGCTATGCTTCTACTTTTCTCAAATTAAGTGCCAGGAAAGCCCTCTTATAAATTCCTAACTTCTGCTAATACTGGAGGCTGCTGCTTGCTTGGAGTAGTCTTTGTCCTTTCCTTAGGAACCCATGAGAGCTACCTGGCAACCCTGGAGCGCGCACATGCTGGTTGAGTGTCCTGGCTGTGTAAAACGTAATCCATAGTCACTACTGGGATCAGTATAGCAGACAACTAACTGCTTCTCTAACTTGCCCAGTTCACTGCTAACTCGTGCTTCTGACTTCACTGTGCAGGCTGCTTTAGGTTTTTTTTAGAATTAATTAGCTTGTCTTAAATGGAGATGCTTTTGAACTGGAATTTCTTTTTAGAAAAGAACAACTCAACCCAGTGCTGGTGGCTAGCTCCTGTAATATTTGCTACTCAGGAGGCGAGATCTGAGGATACAGTTTGAACCTAGCCTGGGCAGGAGTGTCTTTGAGATTGTTTTCTCCACTAAACTACCAGGAAAGCCATAATTGGAGCTGTGGCTCAAGTGGTAGAGCACTAGCCTTGAGCAAAAGAAGCTCAGGGACAGCGTCCAGGCCCTGAGTTCAAGCCCCAGAACTGGCTTCCCATTCTACCCTCCCATCCCCCGCCCCAAAAAAAAGAACAAAAAGAACAACTTGAGCAAGGCATTGGGGGGGTGGCTGCTCTTCTACCTCTCTTGCCTGAGCCCTGCCAGCAGCCCTGATCCTCACTCTGCCTGCCCGTGTTTTTCCATGGAGGGGCTATCCCGTTTGCTTGCTCTGGGAAGTTGTCTCCATTGTTGCCTACTCCAGGTCACAGACAGTGCCTGGCTTCTAGACATTTCCATAGCAGGTGGACGAGGTCTCTGTATACTGGGCTGGTGTCTGTGGAAATGTACTCCTTCAATGGAGCTGGAGGTGGGGTTGGAAGCACTCCAGCTGTGCCACTGGCATCTGAACATCAGCCATTATGTAGTGCACTTGTGTTCAAGTGCACTTTGGGGCCTGTCTTTCAGAATTGATTTATTTCTTAGAATTTGCTATAACTGTAGCAGTTTGTAGTCAGCATCCTGACTAAACATTTTGTAAAACATGTTTTCAGCCGGACTGTAGAGAGAACGTTCTCTTGACTGTCTGTCCAGCAGGTACCTTGCTTTGTTTCTTTCCATGCCATGACAACCAATCAGCATCTGCTTTGACTGCATAAGCTCTGGTGGGCAGTGGCCCCAAACTGCAGTGAGGCCCAGGATGCCTGTGAGAGGCTGTGCTGTCGGAGCTGTGTACTGTACTCAGCTGCTCTGGCACCTGCATGCTTTGTCTTGAGGGCCTTCCTGCTTGGCCTTCAGAGGCCTGCTCGCAGATCTAACACTCCTGGGTGAAGCTCTGGAGGAACTTTCTCTCGAGACAGTATTTCTAGGTCCATATGTATGGAAATTCTATGACAATAGAATTCTCAACAACCCAAGTCCCCTCCCACCAGGGCCAGGGAGGAAGGGGCCTGGAGGAGTGCAGTGATGCCACCACAGTGCGCAGCAGTGCCTCTCTGTGCACGGGCTACTTCCTCCTCTTTTTTTTTTTTTTTTGGTTTCTCTTGCCAGTGTTGAGGATGGAACACAGGGCTTCATGCAAGCTAGTTATATCTCTGAGTTGTATCTCACCTCTGTTATTTTATTTTGAGACAGGCTCTTGCTGTGAAGCTCTTGAATTGGTGATTCTCCTGCCTCAGTTCCCTAAGTACTGGGATTTTAGGCATGCTCACCACACTCAGCTTTCGAGCACACTTTTGTTATTTAAAACAAGTGTTATATACTTAGGTGTTTCTTTAATTAGCTGTGAGCACACTTTTGTTATTTAAAACAAGTGTTATATACTTAGGTGTTTCTTTAATTACCTGTACTGGGACTTGGCTATATGTGGTACGTGAAGAGTTCATTTTCTGTGTCAGGTTTGGTTCATAGGAGTACACTAAAGTCTGGAATGCTGGCTTGTCTCTTCACTGGCAATGAAATGATTTTTTATGCTGTTTCTGTTGAAATGAAGAGTCCCTGAGATTTCTCAGTCAGCAGTTTAAAGATGGTTACCATTAAAAATGGTTACCATTGGCAACCACTTGTTTGTGTGCATCAAGCTCTTTTTAGGGGTAGGAGTGTAGAGTGCTTACCTAGTGTTCATGAGGCCCTGAGTTTGATTCCAGCATTGGGAAAAGGGGGGGAAAAAGGCTTCTCTTTTATCATTATGTATTTGAGATGAAATAAGAAAGTGAATGTTGAGTAGATGTCATGATGTTACCTCCAACTTCAGATTTTAAGTTCTGGTTTTCATAAAGGTGTCTTCCTTGTTCTTACTGATTTAGTTTATTAGAAGGAGAACTTGTCATCCACTTTTTTTTCTCTTCTTGAGATAGGGAGTTGCTGTCTAGCCTAGTCTGGAGTCTGATCTGAAACTCAAAATCCTCCTGCCTTAGCCTCCCAAGTGCTAGGATGACACGCATTTGTAGTGAGAAAATGCCACTCAGCTCTCAGTTATATTGTAGTTCTGCATGAGATTTTAAAACTAGGATGTAAGTGCTCTTTAGAACTCGTGCATCGGCAAGGATGCGGGTGCCCTCCTATGCAGACAGAGCTGCGGCTGACAGTTTATTACAGGACTTGCTGGCCCATGCTTGACCACATCATAGTAGCCATCTCACAAGATTTCAGGTTTTTTCTTAATATTCAGAAGTAGCATCTAAAACAGAGAGACAGACCAGCTGCCCTGGGTTACCGTGCGTGCAGTGGAGCTGTGTGTGAGGAAGCAGAGAGAGGCGACAGCAGGATGCAGTGCAGGGAGAGCGGTCTGTGCTGCTTTTGGCGCTGTGAACAGGGCGCGAGGGCAGGTTTTGCAGTTACTCTGTCCTGTTTGGATCCTGCTTTGAGCTTGTCTGTACAAATGAAACTAGGTTTCCTCAGCTTTGGTCCATGTGACTGTGTTTACCGTGTGACCTGCACGTGGGGTCACAGGTTCTCAGGGGCCCTCTGGGCTGCTTGTGGGAAGTCATGGCATTGATGGCAGGTCCTTCGGGACACATGACTCGGGTGTCTGTGGACCTCCACGCCCCAGGGCAGCCTCTTGTCTGCATGTTTTTTTCCCCATGTTGAAATACCAGGGCTTTCCCCAGGGTCCTTCCGAAGCACCTGTTCCTGTCTCTCTTTCCACACTGAGATTTCTACACATTTCAGTAATGCACTAAAATTTTACCAAGGATCACTGGAGAATGTGACAGTGCTAATTAGAAATAGCTTAGTTTTTATTTTTGAAAAATTACATTAGGAAGACAACTAGAATATACCAAAATAAATTGAATTACCACAACATCTGCAGTCCTGTTGTACATAGCTAATAATTGCCACTGTGCATGTTAAACCAATATGCCATGTGATTAGTTTCTGCTCAGAACTCTACTTTGTAATATGAATATGTGACATGAGGATTTAAAGACGTGTCCGTGGCCCTTCCAGCCCAGGTCGAAGGGGATTGGCCTGCATTCTGGGGAGTTGCTGTACCTCCCCCAGGTGGCGAGTGCTGGGCAGGGCAGACTAACTTGCCTGGTGCCAGTTGGTCAGCCTGGCCCTGAGAATTGCTCGCCTAGATCTCTGAGGCTCCAGGGAGGCGATGGCTGGCCCCAGTGCCCACATCACCTGCCACTTGAGTGAGTGGTTCCCAGGGTGTGTGAGTGGTGCCCAGTGAGCTCCCTTGGGACCTGGGAGGGGGTGGTGAGCACCCTGTGGGAGCACGGTGGTGGTGGGCAACAAGATCTCGGTCCCTTCTTGTGCAGAGCAGTGGGAACTGATATGTTCTTGTCCTCCCAGCATTCACGAGGCCTTGGTAACAAGTTTTATTTTTCCATTTAAAGATGAGAAAGATGAAGCTCGGGCTGGTTAAATGACTTGCTCAGCGTCCATGGTGAGTCCGAGCGGGCAGGGACAGGCCCCACTGTCTGTGCTCCTGTCGAGATGTCGGCTGCCACTTGGGCAGGACGCAGGAGGCGTTGTGCCCAGGGAAACCCATTTTCTTTGGATGGTCAACTGCATGCTTACAACGTGCGCTGCCCCTCAAGTCGCCGGGTCTTACGGTTCTGAAATGTCTAAGATGCTAGTGTTTTAAGAGATGAGAGTCACATACAAACTTCAGGAAGGACTACACTTGGGGGATATGGCAGAACAGGAGAAGTTAAACGAATGTGTCTTCTGCGGATAGCCTTTATTTTGGTTTTTCATTGATGACTCTCCTTTATGTACAGTTACTTGTGTCTTGCAGTGAGTAAAAGATTCCTAGAATGATGCTAGTCTCATACTGCCTTCCACTCTGATGCTTGTTTGGAGTAGGCCAGCCTAGATGCTTCAAGACACGTTGGGCCCAGCCCCACCTCTGAGCCGGCCTGGTGAACCAGAGTGACAGAAGGGAAGGCCCAGGATGAAGCCATGATCTCTGTGACCTAGAAATACTGTAGACCAGGCTGTGTGGCGCGGGGCCTGCGCCCTGTCCTCCCGTGGGCTCACTGGTTCTCTCCTTTTTGTCCGACAGGCCTAGCTGCCCGGGTGCCTCCCGCCCTGCTCCTGCATGACGGGCAGTGCCTCCTCCGGCCCCCCCCTCCAGCGCTGCCCGCTGTGTCTAGCAGCCCCTAGGAGCTTGTCAGAGCTGCACCTCTGGGCCTGGTCATTCCTTTCGGTGCTGCTGACCTGGGGTTCCTGATCTCTGTATACATGTAGCTTTGCCAGATGTGTACTTAGTAATATCAACTGTATTAATAAAACCCATTTACTGTGTAACACACATTTAACGATTAAGAGCGATTAGCTGTACACTCTGCTAGCAGGTAGTTAGAAGTGTCACACAGGTTTACCGCAGCGGCATGACGGTGGCCTGTGGACAGTGGCTGAGCTGTAGGAGTAAGGCATGTGTTGCACGTCTGTGATACTTAGAGAACATCTGGCCAGTACGCCTGCCCGAGGCCCTGGACATGCTCACGTAGACTTGCTGTGTAGTCCTGTGTAATTCTGCTTTTCTCTACTAATCTTTAAAAGCTCAGTGATGTGTGTATTTGTGTCTTTCTAACTTCTAATAAACTCACTCCAACTGACTTGTGTCTGTGTCTGTCTGCTCGATACACTGCTCACTCTTCCTCGGGATGCAGAATTGCACAACCTCTGCAAGGAGCCAGTTCCTGTCTTACTGGGGATCTGTTCTGAGAATAAATGGTGCTGCACACATATTTCCCACTCTGCTTCTGATTTTCCTATCTGAGCTCTGCCACATGCTTTATTTCTACTCTCACTTGGGCTATGACAGCTAGCCACTCCTTTCTTCCTACGAGAGGTCTGAGGATTCTTAGTTACTTTATAAAGTAAACATTTTAATTTTCCAGCCACATTTATAGCTAACATTTAATAAGACCACTGTGAACTTGATTGACAGTTCATCTAAGCATGGCTTTTAGATGACCACAGGAGGAAGGCTTTGGGATAGTAGGCTCCGTGCTGGCACCTGGGCCCCATGCGCACAGTGTCCAGCGGGACTCATGCAGAAGTTCTGCTGATACTCGTGGAAGCTACCTCAGTTTTTATTGCAGCTATTTGTAAGACAACAGTCTTAATTCTTGGGGATGTGCTTCCTTTTGTTTGAATGAATTTCCTCTTCAAGGACTTCCTTGATTATTAGGTTGTTTTTAATGAAATTTCAAACGGGTAGATTTCTGGGAGGCCTGCATTTACATAAGTACAGGGCAGACTGGTGGTGCTGATCGCTGGCGGTAGGCGGGCTGGGAATTGCTGCTTGCCCCTGCTGTTCCTTGGGTGTGGGAGGGAGAAACAGCAGCTTCACGCTTGTTCACATTTTTTTCAGGATGGCACTGGATCTTTAAAACGCAGTGGTTCCTTTAGCAAACTCCGGGCTTCCATTAGACGCAGCAGTGAGAAGCTGGTTAGGAAACTGAAGGGAGGAAGTTCAAGAGACAGTGAGCCGAGAAACCCTGGGTAACTATCTCCCCAGCCCGCCCTCCCTCCCTGCCAGTATGCATCCCTGGGCCGCGCGTCCCCGTCCTCCCCCCTTCCTGGCGAGCCCAGATTCCACACTGGGAAGGAGGAGTAACTTGTGTCTGGTGGATCGAGAAACAGATGAGAGGGCTGTGCCTTCAAAAGAAGACATTTGGCTAGGTGCTGAGATCTGAGGATCGCAGTTCGAAGCCAGCCCGGGCAGATAAGAGTCCATGAGACTCTTATCTCCAATAAACCACTCGAAAACTGGAAGTGGTGTGGTGGCTCAAGTGGTAGAGCGCTTGCCTTGAGCTGAAGAGCACAAGGACAGCGCCCAAGCCCAGAGTTCAATCCCTATGACTGACAAAAAAAAAAAGTTCATGATAGGGGCTGGGAAGGTGGCTCAGTGGTAGAGTGCTTGCCTTGCATGCTCGAGGCCCTGGGTTCGATTCCTCAGCACCACATAAGCAAAAAGAAAAAAGCCAGAAGTGGCGCTGTGGCTCAAGTGGTAGAGCTCTAGCCTTGAGCTGAAGAGCTGAGGGACAGCGCCCAGGCCCAGAGTTCAGGCCCCACAACTGGACCAAAAAAAAAAAAGAAAAGAAAAAAAGAAGGCGAAGGAAAGTGAATGCCTGTATAAATCCCTGTCTTTAACGTGTTATGGAGTATTTTATTTTTTTGTGCCTGTACTGGAGTTTGAATCCAAGGGCTCACCTTCTCCTTTAGCATTTTCACTCGTGGCTGGTGCTGTTCTACTCACTTGATCCCACCTCCACTTCTGGCTTTTTGCTGGTTAATTGGAAATTTCTGACTTGTCTGCCTGAGCTGGCTTTGAACCTTAGTCCTCAGTAGCTGGGAGGCAGATGTGAGCTCCAGTGTCTGCTTGAAATACATTTTACATGTTGCTTTTCTAAGTACAGAGATTGATTATCCAATGCTGCTCGCTTTTCTCTTGTCCTACATTAGGTGGAAGTTGGAGATAGGATTTAGTTGTGCTCCTGGCCTTCTAGACCAGGTCTTGGGTGTGCTGAGGTCTGTGGAGCCCTGGCCCAAGTCACTTGTGGGGCAGGGGTGGTGGTGTGCTGCCCAGCCTCCCGGCCCAGCTGAGCCGGCTGGGCGGCCGTCGTGGGTGAACCCCACGGCGTTGCCTGTGCGGTATGCAGTCTGCTGCAAATGAGGCATTGGGGTCTTTATGTGCTGCCAAGCGTGAGGTCTGCGAGTGCCGGGTGCTGTGGTGTCCAGGAGCTGCCCTGCGTGGTGGCAGCCGTCTTTGAGGGGTGGAGGGCGCAGCTGGGGCCCTGATGTGGGGTGCAGGCGTGCCAGTCCCTTTGTCCATGTCTGGGTCTGGGCTGTGGCTGCAAGCGTGCTTGTTTCCGAATGCACGTAATTTGGATGTCAAGGCTACTGAAGATGGTTTCCCAGTAAACCTGCCCCCTGCTTGTCCTGACCCACAGCCATGGGCCCAACCTTGGCCCCACACCCAGCAGAGAATGGGTTTAGGCAGACGCGTGCCAACGGCGTCTTCCTGCTGGCTAGCAGCTGATTGTGGGCTTGGGGGCTCATGTGCCAGGTGCCTTCAGGATGCCAGTTAGATGTAAATTTTGGGGTGCTTATTGGGGTTTGACCTTGCACACGGGCCAGGGCTGTCTCAGTGGTGACAGAAGCTCTGGCAGAATCCGCAGTGTGAGGGGGTGCTCTCCCCTCCCGCTGACCTGTCCCCTGGAGGACGGGGCGGGATCCCTCTGCCCCCACGAGTGCTCCTGCTATCTGTCCTGGGGTTACGCTCTCTAATGATCATCTAGAATCACTCATGCTGCAAAAGTAATTTTATTTCTTATTGTAAGCTCCTTCATATTTGCAGGAAAACATCTATAAATAACCAAGCCAAGCAGCTTTGGCCACCTCCACTCCAGGTCTTTTGGAGTCACAGATAGCTCTGAGTGCTATCCTGCTCCAGGGGGACTGGTGGTGGCAGGGACAGTGCCTGTCCCCAAGTCAGCAGGCAGCCCCCCTGCAGGCAGACAGGACCTCTCCTCTGCCCCCCCCATCCCCCAGGGCCACAGCCCTGCCCTCTTAGGCCACAGCTCCTCCTGTTGTCAGCCTAGAGCCCAGCAAGGCCAGGCTTGGAGGCAGGGCGTCTCATTTCCTGTTTCTTCTTTCATCAACTGCCCAGGGCTGCTTTTGCCTGCAGGCGGCCGAGGTGAGGTCAGCCCCTTTACCACTTCCAGACTTGGCCAGATGCCAGTCTGTTCCTCCACCTTGAGCCCAAATAGACTTTCACGACAGAGTGTGCCAGTATGGCTCTCTGCCACCTTAGTGGGCGGAGGCGGGGCACCACCTACTGCCCTGCAGAGGCAGAGCCCCGGACTGCTCGTGGGTCATTTGCCTTCCAAGGGCCAGTCTACTGGGAGGGAACAACTTGGGGAGAGGAGGGACGGTACCCTTGGGAACTGTGCTGCTCAGCCCCTAAGGGCTTGGTTGGGCTGTCCACAGATACTGGTGTGTTAGCTGGGCATGGCCCCTCGCACCCCTTCACAGCCGACTGTGTAGGAGCAGGAGGAAGGAGGCAGGTGGGGGGCAAAGAGCACCCTCAGGGTTCGGGTCAGGCCACCGGGCAAGCCCGGGACGGCTTCTTGTGCGCGGACACGGTCAGCCATCAGTCTCATCAGAAGCTGGTTAGCCCAGGCGATACCAAGGGCTGGAGACAGGCGCGGGTCCCAGGGTCTGAGACATGACAGGGAAGAGCTGCTGGCAAAGGTTGGCTGCCACCCTTCTTCCCCCAGCGGCTCCCCCCCATCTACTCACTGCTGGCCACGCCCAGTGCCCCCCCCCCCAGGTATGGGCACTCACCCTGGTAGGCAGGGCAGCAAGCCCTGCTCCTCCACAGCCTCTGTCACCTGGAAGAGTCCAATGGGGGCAGCAGTAGTTGAGGGTCCCCTGGTTTTCCATATCATGACCAGAGCCCCTTGAAGTCCCCTTCGCAGCCCCTCCCCATCGTCCTGGGCATCTGGGCAAACTGCCGCCTCACCCACCTGGTTGATGCATAGCACGGGGGCCTGGAAGGCGCTGCTCAGCCGGCGCAGCTCGGCCCCCAGGGATTGCAGATGCCTGGCCCGGAGGGCAGGGCCCTCTTTGTCAAACTCACAGCGAAACGGAGCTGCCACGGAGTCGATGACTACCAGTCGGGCCATGCCCCTTGACAGCAGCACGGGGACCTTCTTCCTTACACACTCCAGCAAGGTGTCCTGCAAGGGGGGACAGCATGGCCGCCACTGGCTCACCAGGTGCTGTCTAGGTGACCGGCTGGCCCTCTGGTCTGCAGCTTTATGGCTCCTTGAGTCTGGGCTTGCGTGATCCTCCCAAAGGCTCCAAGGACGGGAGGCCTCCCGGTGATACCCCTGGGCAGTCGGCACAGCTGCCAGGAACCATTTCCCCCATTCCCTGTGGGTCTGCTCCTGACCATGCAATTTTCACCCGTCTTTGGGGGGAGCTTTACACCAGGTGCTGGGGGGCCCTGAACCTAGCCTCACCTCCAAGGGAGGCCGGGGGAGGGGAGGCCCTGCAAGCTGGGGCCAGTGCCCTGAGGCTGCTCTCATTCCTGTCATTTAGGGGATGGGGTGGGGGAAGCCTGGGGCCAGCCTCTTGCTGTCCAGGTTGGCAGCCCTGACTGAAGGCTCAGACCACTCTGGAGTGCAGGGCGTGGCCAGTGCCGGGTGGCCCCCATGGAGGAGAGCAGGCCTGAGACACAGCGGAGGAGCCTCACACTTTAGGCCTGCAGATACATCTGGGCCAACCAGCCAGGCAGCACTGAGGGCTGCTGAGGGCCTGGCGTGAGGCTGGGGTGAAACTCAGTTTGTGCTTTTCCTCAGGGCGTCCCCAGCGGACCCTCTGTGTGTGGAGAACGACAGCAGCAGCCTAGAAGATGCCAACGTGAGTGTCTTTCCCCCCGCCAGGGCCAGGCAGTGGGGACGGCCATTGGCTTTGGCGCACAGAGGTGGCTAGGGGGGGTAGGCGTGGCCCCAAGGCTGACTGTGAGGAGGAAGGCATCTAGCCATTGTGGGTCTGAGCGGATTCTGGAAAGAGGAGGAGCCCCTCCCCCCCCTCCAGTGCAGCAGCCCGGCCTCATCTATGGTCTTCTCTTGCAGTGACCCAGCCTGGCCTGCTGTAGGATGCCAGGATGGTGGCGCTATGTGTGGCCCTGGAGCTGGCCCCGTGACGGCCAGGGCAAGGCTGGGAGGGCCCTGGGCCCGGAGCCTGCAGTGCTCACTTAGCTTCTCCTGACCGGAATGCAGGCAGCGCTCAGGAACGCTCTGCTTGGGGCAGGAGGTCCTGAAAACACAGCGCCGGGCATGGCCCGCCCGCCACCTGCCCAGGCCAGACACATCTGTATCCTGCATCTGCCGGGCTTCTCCATGTCCCCCATGTTGTGTGATAATGTATTTACTGTACATTTTTTAAAAATTAAAAGTTTATACACCTTATTCTTCGACTTGAACGTCTTCTCATAACAGCTCTTCTCAGTGGCTCTGCAGCCACAGCGATGTACTGGGTGGGTGTACCCTGCACCGTGTCATTTCTGTGTTCATATTGCACATAGAGCTCCCTTCCTGCCTAGGAAGGACTCCCTTCACCATCTGAATTGTGCCCCTTCGTCGGCCCACCCTGCCTGCTCCCAACCCTGTCACCTCTTGCTGTGCTGATAATCACCATGGCAGGTCTGCCGCGCCCCAGCCGGCAGAGCACACTTACCACATCTGCTGCGTGCTCGATGAAGATGTGGTTGCTGAACTTGATCTTCTGGACCACCTCGCTTGGCACATCCATCCGCAGCCGCTGCTGCTGTGCAATCAGCTGCTGCAGTCGCTTGCTGGGGAAGACATCCTCCGTGCAGATGTAGACGGCCCCTGGGGGGGCCGAGAGTGATGAGCCCAGGAACCCGAACTATACCTCTGCTGCCACCCAAATCAAATGCACGTGTTGCCTTGTTTCCAATCCCAACCCTCTGGCTTTCCATCTCCTGAGGAAGGGTGATGCCAGAGCTGGCCCTCAAGGGCCAGGTGGTCCTCTGGGAGCACTAGCTAGGTCTCCAGTTCTGGTACTGGGCACATGTTCCCTGGTCTGGCCAGGCCAGAATGGCCACAGGTAGGCTGCCCTGCTTGCCTAGTTCTGCTTCCCCTCCCTGGTCGGGGATGGGAGTGGACTGATTACCAATGCTTCAGGCCACATCCCTCCCCCAGAGTGCAGGCCCAGGGAGAGTCCAGCGGGACCTATGTTCCCTCTGCCCCTTGCAAGGTTCCCTGCCATTCCAGCCACTCCATGAGGCCAAGGTCTTCGTGGTGATTTCAGATGGGTCACCAAGCCTGAACAGCATTTGAGCAATGCACGGCTTGGGCCCAGAAACAGCATCAGCAGACATGGGGAGCCATGCAGCTGAGAGCTCATCAAGAAGCCCTGAGTTCATGGGCAAGGGACGTTCAGTGAAGATGTCTCAATGATCCACAAAGACCCAGTGTGAGGAGGACACGGCAATCCAGTGTGGGGTGCTGCGGTGATCTGGTGCCAGTGATCCAGTGTGGCATGTCACCGTCATCTACTGTAGTATGTCATAGTGATCTAGGGTGAGGATATAGTGATCCAGTGTGGGATGCCACAGTGATCCAGGGCAGGGAAGAACAGTCTCTTCCAATAGATGGGGCTGGGACAATGGGAAAATCACACGTGAAAGAGACTGGACTTCACAAGGATGAGTTCGAGCACTCAGTACTTATAGAAGAAAATGACCTGAGTGCAGCTTGTTCTAAATAAATGACACCAAAAGCCACAGGCACCAATGAAAAAGAACCGAACTCTAAAACATGAAAAATAGTTGGCTGCTAGTGGCACCAACTTGAACTCCTAGTGACTCCAGAGGCTGCGATCAGAGGATCGCGGTTCAGAGACAGCCTGGGTAAGAGAGTCCTTGAGACTCTTCAATTAACCCCCAGAAAATTGGAAATGGTGCTGTGGCTTAGCCTTGAGCAAAAGAGCTTAGGGGACAGCACCCAGTCCCTGAGTTCAAGCCCCATGACTGGGGGAAAAAAAAGTGCTTTAAAGGACACTACTGAGATAAGACAAACCTCTGGAAGAGAAAAGACCCGCCTGGTAAGGGATTTGTCTTCAAAACACATGAGTTCATAAAACTCAATACAAGGTGATTTTTAAGTGGCATTGGACCTAACAGACATCTGCAAAGACAACTTTGCTGTGGCCAGCATGTATGAGAGACGTTCAGCTCACGAAAGCCAGAAGTCGTGTGGATGTGGGAGCTGCTGTCGTGGCTTTGGGGGACTGAATGGTGCTGGGAAAAGGGCCGGCTTGTGTGGGGCAGAGCCACGTTCAGGGTTCAGATACAGTGGCATCCACAGTGGCGGGCGGGGATCTTGGCCCCGCGGTGGGGAGCTGAGCCACGCTGGCTGCTGCAGGCTTCAGAGTGGCACCGTGGCGCGGCTGCCTCAGCCACCCTCAGTCCTCACCCGCGGGAGAATGTCACCGTCTTTGCCTTCATTTCTGATGCTGTGGCCATGTATTGTGCAGGCCACGTGAGCCTGTGAGCACAGGTTCAGGACACTTCTACTGACACTGCAAGAACCCCAGGGCCATGCCCGAGTGCTGGTGGTAATCCTGGCCCGCCGTGCTCCCCTCATTCATAGGAGGAAACAGCCCTGGAGGAGTCCTCACCCACCTAGGGAGAAGCAACCCAAGACAGGGCTGAGACCCGCCGGGCCTGGCCGGAGCCCTGCCTTCCTCAAGGGCTCGCCACTCACCAGCCTCCAGGCCTCCGTGTTGCTGTGGGAACTGCACAGCCAGGCTCAGCTGTAGTGCCAGCTGGGTCTTCCCTGCCGAGCTGCAGCCCGCAAGCTCCGTGATGCCGCCCAGGGGCAGGCCGCCGCCCAGGACCCTGTCCAGCACGGGGCAGCCCAGACTTAGGCGCTGGTGCTGCACAGGGAAGCGCTCCTTCTGCTGGACCAGGTGCAGGGCTGTGGGGTGGGCCAGGGTCAGATGTGCAACCTTCTACACCCCACCAAGCCAGCAGCTCCACTCAGTGCTGCCCCCGCCGCTCCTTGCACCGGAGAACCGTGAGGAAGCAGCCATGGGCTGCTGACCATGGGCCAGGCCTTTCAGCCTTCCCACTGTCCACCCATGGTGTCCTGACAGAACGCTGCGTTCCCACCCGCAGCGTCCTGACAGAACGCTGTGACCACAGGGTGAGGAGGCCGGGGCTGGCCACAGGCCACTGCTCACGCATCCACCCTGGGTTGGTGACGGGTCCCCGCGTCAGCCAGCAAGGCGGCCCTCCAGCTTACCTGTCAGGGTGTGGGGTCCTCGGAGCCATAGGGAGGCTGCTGTGAGCAAGTGCTGGACGTCGGGGCTGGACAGCCCGGTCAGTCTCTGCAAGTCTGGTCCAGAAAAATGCAGAACCTCCTTTACTGACTTCAGTTTGGCTGAAATTACACAGATCAGTCACAGAAAAGGTCAGACTACAGCACCACGGGGAAAATAGCAAGTGTGGAGCTGGTAAGGAGCTGAGACTCCAGTTCTGGGGACCCAGGGCTGGGGTGGGGGTCCAAGCAGCCCCCTCAAGGCCCGAGGGAATCTTGGCACATTGATGACTGGACAGTGGAGGACAGGAGGCTGTTGCAGGAGCCAGCCGTGCACCACGCACAGCAGCCACCGCCAGAGGTGGGGAAGTCCCAGAGGCCATAAGAGGCAACGCTGCTGGGCATGCTGCTGGGCACCTGCAGTCCCAGCTACTTGGGAGGTGCCCAGGAAGATTACCGGAGCTCAAGAGTTCTAGTCTAGTCTGAGCAATTCCAAGCCAGCAGAGCAAAACAGTGAGGATAACAAACCAGCAGAGCTCTGGGTCTGGTGTAGCCTTTGCATGTGCCAGCCCCAGGGCCGGTCCCTAGAAGAAAAGGGAGGGAGGCAGGGAGGGAACCAGCGCTGCATGAGCAAGCCAGGCTGGAGCCACCTGGGGCTGGCTGAGCAGGGAGGGGCTGGCGGGGGGCCAGGACCAGCCAGAGCGCTCGGCCAGGGTCAGAACAAAGCACCATTCGCTAGTGATAAATTCATCCTGGGCTTAGATTTACTTCTACTTTTTTTAAGTTTTAATTTTTTTCACCAGTGCTGGGGCTTGAACTTAGGGCCTGGGCTGTCCCTGAGCTTTTGCTCAAGGCTAGCGCTTTACCACTTGAGCCACAGCACTACTTCTGGCTTTTTCTGTGTTTGTGGTGCTGAGGAATTGAACCAAGGGCTTCATGCATGCTAGGCAAGCGCTCTACCACTGAGCCACACCTCCAGTTTTCTACTTTTAAACAAGTAGACACGTGTTGCAAATACATTTGGACAATCCAAAAAGTAGCAAAAAGAAGCAACTTCACTGAGGAGGAGCAGGGCTGGCAGGAGGGTCCTGTAACTGCCTTCCTGACAGACATGTGGAAGGCTGCAGTTACACTCTCAGCCTGGACGACAGGACACAGGACGCCTGGAAAGGGCAAGCAGTGGCCACGCGGACGGCTGCAGCACGGAGGCCCACGGGGTGCTTTTCAGTCAAAAGTACTGAGCCACGGCTCCAGCACTGGGGGTGGAGTGGGGAGTAGGAGCCCTGGCTGGCCACTCAGGACGCATTTTCTGATAGATAAGATACAGGAGAGAAACAAGGGCCTTCTGTTCCCAAGGTGTTTATAGCTGCAGCCACCATTCTGCAATCATGCTATAGGCAGGACAGGAAACCAACGATGTGACCGACTGCAGCACAGAGACTGGCGCTCTGCCACCAGCACTGTGCTGGTCGTGGTGTTGTGTCTGTACCTGCAAGCAACTGTCATCCCAACAGCCACCCTGGGAGATGAATGAGATACAGGGGGCTGGAACCGCAGCTGCGTGCCAGCCTGGGGCGGCCGGTGGACGGGAGCGACAGAGGTAGGGTGTGCCAGGAGGGAGGCTCCCAGGCGGGACCCAGCAGGTGACCTGTCCAGCCTCTCGAATGCTTGGACTGAGGCCATTGTGTCTGACAGACCTTCTGCAGCGCAGGGGGAGAATCAGGAAACACACAGAAAAGGCAGCATACAAGCAAGGCTGGGGGAACAGCCAAGCCACCAATAGTTCAGCAAGGGAGCATACCTCTCTCTTTTTTTGGGGAGTAGTCTGGTCGTGGGGCCTGAACTCGGGGCCTGGGCGCTGTCCCTCAGCTCTTCAGCTCAAGGCTAGCACTCTACCACTTGAGCCACAGTGCCACTTCCGGCTTTTTTTTCTCTTTGCTTATGTGGTGCTGAGGAATTGAACCCAGGGCCTCAGGCATGCAAGGCAAGCGCTATACCACTGAGCCACCTTCCCAGGCCCAAGCATACCTCTCTTGACTGCAGCAATAATTCTGGGGTTCAGGTCCAGCTGATCCAAATCCATCTCAGTGGATCGCCTGCCAGGCCCCTAACTTCCCCGGGGCCAGACTGACCCCCTGTGGGAGCGCTCACCTTCAGGATGCTCCTCACTCTCTCTGTGGGCAGCAAGACACCGTGGTCAGTGCCTCTGGCCTCCAAGAATGACCTCCCAGGTCAGAAGCCCGGGACACTCTGGTTCCTGAGAACCAGCTGACCACGCTTCCTCAAAGGAGAGCGGACTGAGTGTGCGTCCTCCGGCGCCTGCTCATCTTGCCAGCGGGCCACAAGGAAGCCAGAGATGCACACCTGCGCTCCACCCAGTGTGTGTGGCATTCCCCAGTGTGGTGTCTCAAATGTCTCCTTGGAGCTTCTGGAAAGATCAGGAAGCATGGGATATTTCAGGGTGCTTCCTGCAGGCAGGCCTGGGGCGCCCACGGACTGCCCTTCCCGCCTAGGCTGGCTGTGCGGGACTCGGACTAGGGTCTGGCAAGCCTGTCCACAAAGCCAGTGTGCTCCCCACACCTCTAGCTGGCTGGGAGGGGGCAGGCACGGGGTGGGCTGGGTGGCGACTGAGGGGTCCTGACAGTGCGGATGTGGCCTGGCCTGGACAGCACGCGTGGACAGACTTCCTGTACCTGCGTCCTCCCAGCACTGCTGAGGCCGGGTGGCCGGGGAACCCTGGGCTGAGCCGGCTGGGACACACTGCGCTCGCCGGCCACAGCACCGCGAGGCCGCTGCGGGCAGGACCGGCAGGCGCGTTCCCTGCTGGGCCCGCAGACCTTGTGGGTGCCCAGGCCGGACAGGAAAGGCGCGGAGGCCCAGGCCTGGCCGCCCTCCAAATCCACTGGACAACCCGCCCCTGGGGACCCCCCTCGGGACCGCCCCCCACCCCGTATCCCCGTTCCTGGGGACCCCCACCCCGCTCCTCGGGACTGCCCCCCACCCCGTATCCCCGTTCCTGGGGACCCCCCACCCCG